AGAGGTGTGTGGAGAGAGACCATGTGACAAATACACACAAACTGCAGTGTCTGATTCTCATACCATTATTACCTCTTGTTTTGCTATCAGACTCAGCTGTCAACTGTCACTTTTCTCATGGTTTGCCTGTCTCCAGTAATACTCATTTTTAGATCTATTTTATTTTCTGCTAAAATATGTTATAACCTAGAAAACAGATAGTCAAGTTTGAATAACTATAATAAAATTAAGTGGGTCTATTGGAGATCAAAGTACAGTAGCAAAGTATAGTAGAAAGCCATGTTATATCCATTTAAACATCTTAGAAGTTAGTTTTGCTTAAATCCCAATTTTCTTTTTTTTTTGTTGTTGAGTTGGAGTCTCACTCTATTGCCCAGGCTTGAGTGCAGTGGCACACACACAGCCAACCCAGCGTCGACCTGCCAGGCACCGGTGATCCTTCCGCCTCAAACTTATAAGTAGTCAGAACTACGGGCGCGCGCTACCACACCTGGTTAATTTTTGCTTTTTTAATTGTAGAGATGAGGTCTTGCCAAGTTACCTGGGCTGGTCTCGAACCCATAGGCTCAGGTAATCCACTCGCCTTGGCCTCCCAAAATGCTGGGGTTACAGGCTGTGCCACTGAGCCCTGCCTTATTAATCTCAATTTTCAACTATACCAGGTTAGTTGTAACCACCAAAAACATATCTTCCAGATAAGTGAAATGTAACACTATAAATATGCGTGTGTGTATATATATTTATATTATATATATACTGGGGATGCCAAAAAAGTATACACATTTTAAGAGATGTTGTCTATGTATTACTTTTTGAAGTTAAATTCAATTACGGTATTAATGTATTCACTCAAAAGATGGCGTCAATCAAATGAATGCTAGCATCACCATACAACAGGTAGGACAGAAAGAAAATGGCATAAGTAAAGTTGTTGTCCAAGGAGTGTAAAACCATGTTTAAGAGGTATATGAAATCTGAGAACACTGTGGAAGTACGACAACGGAGGCGTGAATATGCAACAGAACCACCAACACACCTAACAATTGCATGCATTCATGGTAAGTTTGAGATATATGGTACTGTGTGTGATGTGCCAAGGGAAGATCCAGGTCTCGCACAGCAACAAGTCCTGCAGCAGTTTGCCATAATCAAAAGTGTCTGGACGCTGATAGCAACTACTTTGAGTACCTCTTGTTATTGTAGAAGTCAAACGTGACTTGTATTCACCTTTTGTTATCAGTATATACTGAGTATTACAATTTTAATACAGCTTTTACTTTCTTAAAATGTGTATACTTTCAGCCGGGCTCGGTGGCTCAGCCTATAATCCCGCGCCTTTGGGAGGTGAGTGGATTGCCTGAGCTCGTGGGTTTGAGATCCGCCTGGGCAGCGAGACCTCATCCCTACAATAAATCAAAAAATCAGCTGGGCGTGGTAGCGCATGCCTGTAATTCTGGCTACTCGTAAGGCTGAGGCGGAAGGATTGCCGGAGCCCAGCAGGCGAGGCTGCGGTGGCCAGGAGCGGCCATTGCACTCCAGTCTGGGCGACCGAGTGAGACTCCAACTCAAAAAAAAAAAAATGTGTATACTTTTTGGGCACCCTTTGTGTGTGTATGTGTGTGTGTGTGTGTCTGTGTGTGTATAGTGATTTATATACATGTGTGTATATGTAGACAATCTCACACGTTTTTATGGGAGCATGCATGTATATATGTATGCGGAAATTGTCCAAAAAGGTCCCATTTCCTTGATGAAAGGAAGGACCTAAAATAAGAAACATTGACAACAAAATATGAAATACAAAGGCCAGATGCAGTGGTTCATGCCTGTAATCTCAGCACTTTGGGAGTCCGAAGCGGGAGGACTGCTTGAGTCTAGGAGTTCGAGACCAGCCTAGGCAACATACTAAGACCTCATCTCTACAAAAAACTAGCTGAGTGTAGTGGTGTATACCTGTAGTCTCAGCTACTCAGGAGGCTGAAGTGAAAGGATCACCTCAGCCCAGGAGGTAGCATCTGTGGTGAGGTGATCATGCCATTGCATTTCAGCCTGGGCAACAAAGCGAGATCCCAACTAAAAAAAGAAGAAATACGGGGGAGACATGAGTTTCTGAATTCTACTAATTTTTTTTAAGTGACACACTCTGTTCACATCATTAATTTTTTTTTTAAGTTACAGAGCCAACCAAGTGATCCGGCTTCCCAAAGCACAGGGATTATAGGCTGAGCCACCATACCAGGTCAATTAATTTTAATTCTGGTTCGCTTCATTAGAAGTCTGATGTTCTGAATTTTTTTTTTTTTTTTTTTTGAGTTGGAGTCTCACTCGGTCCCCAGACTAGAGTGCAATGGCCGCTCCTGGCCACTGCAGCCTCGACCTGCTGGGCTCCGGCAATCCTCCCGCCTCAGCCTTCCAAGAAGCTGGAATTACAGGCGCGCGCTACCACGTCCGGCTAATTTTTTGATTTATTGTAGAGATGAGGTCTCACCAAGTTGCCCAGGCGGGTCTCGAACCCCGGGCTCAGGCAATCCACTCACCTCAGCCTCCCAAGGTGCAGGATTACAGGCTGAGCCACCGAGCCCGGCTTATTCTGAAATATTTATACTGCATATTAAATATTGCCTTTCAAATACTTTATAAAAGTGAAACCCAAGTCTTTACTGTAAGGCTACCCATATATGAAACATTAATCTAAATACTTAAATAGCACCTACATATAAGCTTCAATGCCCTCTGTAAACAGCATAATCTATAATTATGGAGAAGCTCATGCATTTTCTCAAAGTCACAGAAGTTATGACCGAAAACTGGGTTCAAGGACAGACAACTGATAACTGGTGGCTAAACTAAGCCAAGACTGAAAGCTTTTAAAATTTTCTATTATATAAAGAGAACTCACAAAAACAGTTATATTTTAGTTTTATATTTTTATTATTAGCTTTTAACATATTTTGGATTATTTCTTAGAAAACCATACCAAAATATAAATCTTTTTTTTTTTTTTTGAGTTGGGAATCTCACTCTGTTGCCACGGCTGGACTGCAGTGGCATGCTCACGACCACCACAGCCTCAACCTGCTGGGTTCAGGTGATCCTTCTGCCTCAGCCTTCCCAGTACCTGGAACTACAGGCATGCGCCACCATGCCTGGCTAATTTTTTAATTTTATTGTAGAGATGAGGTCTCGTCAAGTTGCCCAGGCTGGTCTCAAACTCCCGGACTCAGGCAATCCTCTCACCTCAACCTCCCAAAAAGCTGGGATTACAGGCGTGAGCAACCGCACCCAGCCAATAAATCATTTTTTAAAGTTTTAAGTTATTTCAAATTGATCTCTAAACTAAAATTCTGTCATTCTCTTGGGCAACATAAAGTTAGGAAATACAGTCAAGAAAATTCCAATTTTTTCATGTATACCTGGCAACAAAGTATTTATAAATTAGAATCAGTTTATGATAGAATTAGATACTTTATTACATTTTTTTTGCAGGGAAAAAAATGTTCTTTCTTGTGTATTTTGTGTTAAATTCCACATACCTATCCATCAATGCATGGGAGGTATTTTTTAAATTACTGTAAAGACATTTTGTTCTTCTTGTCTAGATATATTAAATTTTCAACCATATTATGTAAATCATTCATCACTTTGTATTACATTATGTGTTATACTGATTTATATTATGTTCCTCTTTACCTATTCAATTTACACCAGAGATGAAAACTTTACAACATTTATAATAACCTGTGTTGCATTTCTTTTTTTGAGTTGGAATCTCACCCTGACACCCAGGCTAGAGTACAGTGGCACAATCATGGCTCACCACAGCCTTGACTTTCTGGGTTCAAGCAATCCTCCCACCTCAGCCGCCTGAGTACCTGGGACTACAGGCTTGCACCACCATGCATGGCTAAGTTTTTTATTTTTTGTAGAGACGAGGTCTCACTATGTTGCCCAGTCTGGTCTCAAACTCCTGAGCTCACGCAATCCTCCCACCTCAGTCTCCCAAAGTGCTGAGATTACAGCATGAGCCACTGCACCCAGACCTGTGTTGCATTTCTTTGAGATAATTTATAAAAAGCAGAGTGGGTTATGGTGGCCAGCTCACCATTACTATGATCCTTAATTTTTTTTTTTTTTTTGAGTTGGAGTCTCACTCTGTCGCCCAGATCGGAGCCTCGACCTGCTGGGCTCCGGCGATTCTTCCACCTCAGCCTTCCAAGTAGCCAGAATTACAGGCATGCACTACCATGCCCAGCTGATTTTTTGATTTATTGCAGAGATGAGGTCTTGCTGCCCAGGCAGATCTCGAACCCGCAGGCTCAGGCAATCCACTCACCTCAGCCTCCCAAAGGTGCAGGATTACAGGCTGAGCCACCGAGTCCAGTGATCCTTAATTTTTAATAACAATCACATTCCTAAAAACTAATTCTAATGACTAAATTTCAAAAGCTGTTACAAAAACTAAAGAAGCCTGAATCACTAACAGATGAAACAAATTTATAACTATTTCAAAATGACCCTTGTGTGCATTTTGAACTGGCTACCACATCTCAACAGACATAACTGAGAGCTAACTTTCAGTCTACCAAGGTTGGAAAACCCAAGCTCAGATCTTCAAAAATATCTTTTATATCTGATAAAGAGTGAGCAATTGTGGGAGGCAGGGGTACAAGTGAAAACAGGGCAGAAAGAGGGTAAAAAGAAAGATGCAAAATAAAACATGAGTACACAGTGAGAAAATCCACAGCTTGTGTTTCAATTACTGCTATTCAAAATATTCTCTCCCAGTAGAATTTAAGTAATAAATTTGCCCATTACAGATTCACTAGAAACTAAAATCACAGAAATCAAAAGTGAATTGCAATGTGTAAACCCTTACCAATGATATTAGATGCAAAGATGATTTCCAGCACTCAATAAACACCAAGTACCCAGGAAGTGCGTGGTACTCTGTTGGGAACTGCAAAGGAGCATGGCCAATTACTTCATATAAACATTCTTACCTTCAGTTGAAACCCAGTTTCATTCACAGTCTCTTTCCAGTTACCTTCCTAAAAATTGAAATTTAGACATCATTATTGCAAAGCAAAAATTCCAAATTAAATAAATACCTATTACCATTTTTAAAAAATTCTTTTTCCTTCAAAATTAAACATACAATCCAGATTCCCAAAGATTATCAAAAGGTGAACCCGAAAGTTTACAGATCTAGGATTCAAAAAACTGAATACAAATTTTGATTTCATTTAAGCGACATCAAAAAGTAGTGTCATTAGTGTTAAGTATGAAAAACATTAGCCAAAAGAACGATGCAATTCAATTAATTTGAAATTCAAAACAAAAACTCAATAAACAAAAAGTTCATTAAGATAAGCATTTTGCAATTAAAAAAAAACCCAAGTCAAACGAATATTTTTAAAAGACTAAACAAAATAAAAATACCTGTGTTAAAAATAAATAGAAGATTTTGTCTCTACAAAGGGTGGGGTGTGAAGCAATTCTCAAAAGAAAGTTCTCCAAACCAATCCGGCGTCTCTCCACAAAATCAGGATCCATGTTGTCAGCAGAGAGTTTATGCCAAACAAATTCTGCCTAGGTAAACAAAACAACCATCAAGAAGTGCCTCAGTGCAAAACGATCCTCAGCTACGGCCATCTCCCTCCTTACCCGTTTTTCTGGCAGAGGTGGCACAACAATATGTGGGTAGTAAACTAAAAGGTAGTTTCTCAACAACTCAAATTCACTATATCGCCTCCACAGGGAGTCTGTGAGGACACTCTGACCATCAGTGTGTTCAACTGACCTGAAAAGGAATAGAAGGACATTTCTATTTTTTTAAAAAGTAACAATACACACACACCAACACAGCCCCCTTTAACATTTATAATTCTATTTACTGAATGCTTATCAACTAGGCACTGAGTAAAGAACTCTTCTTGTTTTCTTGTTTAATCCTTACAATAACCCTGTGAGGTGAGGCAGGGGTTCGTTGCCCTCATTTTACGAGTGGGAAAACAGCTGCACACAATCGCAGAGCGTGGGCAAAGCACTCATTCCCAAAACTCTCACTCCTAGCCAGTCCTTCCGTTATAGAAAACCATTTGAACTCAAGAGAAACATGCACATTAGGAATATTCCCAAAGCTTCAATGTATAATAACTGATTTTACAATATTACGAGATTCAGCTTAGCGAGTGCTTCATTAAATAAAAACTTTATTCTGCTTTTTGAGTCAGGGTCTTCCTCTGTCGCCCAGGCTGGAGTGCAGTGGCCTCCTGGGTTCAGGTGATCCTTCCACCTCAGCCTCCTAAGTAGCTGGGACTACAGGTGCATTACACCACATTGGGCTAATTTTTTTGTAGAGACAAAGTCTCACTGTGTTGCCTAGGCTGATCTCAAACTCCTGGGTTCAAGCAACCCTCTCACCCTGGCTCCCCTAAATGCTGGGATTAGAGGCCCAGATAGTATTTTTAACTTCATTTCTGCCACACTGAGAGAACAATATTCACAACAAAGACCAAGACACCACAGAACTCCAATTTAGGTTATAAATGAATCAGAAATACCCACAAAAATAAAATATTAATTAGCTCAGAAAAAGTGGGTAAGTGGGGTCATAAAAATTAATCTCTAATCTTATCTTTAATTATAAAGAGCTGGCAAGCAATGTCATGTTTCATCCATATAAAAGTTCAATTTCTAGTTGGGGGAAGCTAAGGTAAAATCATATAAAGAATATTTGAAATGATTTTGACTACTTAGGATTTCTTGTCAGCATAAGTACTGTGAGAAAGCACCAATCATTTAAACATTGGGGACCTTCCTATTTTCTGATTACTAGCTTAACAATAACTTATTTGCCAGCCAAGAAATGCACATACAACCACAATGTGCACTTGTACATTAGGACACAAAGACATAGAAGATAGAAGCTAAATAAGCCTCAGAACAAAGTCTTGAGAAAGTGTTTACATTATGCCATGTTAAGCACAACAGATGCTCATTTTTATTATTTATATAGAAAGTATGCCACTAAATCTATTCATTGCATATTAATAAAAAGAAAACAAAATATGAAATGCAAAATGCACACTCGTATGGCAAAAATACAAAATTATTAAATCATAATCCATTTTATTTTATTTTTTTTGAGTCAGAGTCTCACTCTGTCACCCAGGCTGGAGTGCAGTGGCACACTCACAGCCACCATAGCCTCGATCTGCTGGGCTCAGGTGATCCTCCCACCTCAGCCTTCCAAGTAGCTGGAATGACAGGAGCAATGCCACCATGCCTGCCTACTTTTTAAATTTATTGTAGAGACAAGGTCTTGCTGGAACTACAGGAGCAATGCCACCACACCTGCCTACTTCTTTAATTTATTGTAGAGACGAGGTCTTGCCATGCTGCCCAGGCTGGTCTCAAACCCACAGGCTCAGACAACCCTCTCGCCTCCTCTCGAAGTGCTGGGATTACAGGCATGCCCAGCAATAATCCATTTTTAAAAGTACTTAAACAGTAGCTATGACTAATATTCCAAGATTCCAACTGCAGCTGAAAAAGTATCTGGGTTAATTTCAAGTTTCAAATTACTCAAAATCACTACCAAAAAATCCACATCTTGTTAATACATAAATAAAGCCTAGAAGCAGTACACCTAAAAGGCTGGTGGGAGGCCTGCTTTAGTGTTTTTTTTAGATTGAAAAAAGGCCACATGGCCGGGCGTGGTGGCTCATGTCTATAATCCCAGCGCTTGGGAGACTGAAGTGAGAGGACCGAGCCCACAGGTTCGACACTAGCCTGGGCAACTTGGGGAGACCTCATCTCTACAATACATCAAAAATTAGGCGGGCATGGTAGCATGCGCCTGTACTTCCGGCTACTTGGAAGTCTGAGGTGCAGGGATCGTCTGAGCCCAGCAGGTCGACGCTGGAGTGGCCGTAAGCGTGCCACTGCACTCCAGCCTGGGCAACTCAAAAAAAAAAAAAAAAAAAAAAGGCCATGAAGGCAGGGTTAGTCATTAGAAACCGACAAAGAAGACTTTCAGTGGACCCAAAACTACCCCCATTTATCTAACCATTCAACAACTATTTAATGGCACATAACTGGTTTTATGTGCAACATATAACCTCTCACAATAATGTAAATATTATCATTAACCCTGTTTTACAAATCAGAACATTAAGTAATGCCATTATGCTGCCTCCCAAACCATCAAGGCATTATTACCTATTCTAAAAGAGACATAGTCTTACACTTATTTTAAAAGAGTCATATTCTATGAACAGGCACACAAAATTTCTTGGGAAATTAAATCCAAGTGACTTCAGTCTTATTCAATTTAGCCAGTAGTTGTAACAGTATAGAAAAGGCGCCTAAAAATCCTTTTTAATTTTAAACTTAAGAAGTTACTTCGAAAGCTAGAGCTAACACTGATTTCTAAAGTATTTAATTTTGTTTTGTATTTTATAGAGAGACAAGGTCTCGCTGTTGTTGCCCAGGCTGCTCTCAAACTGCTGGGCTCAAGCAATCTTCTTGTCTCAGCCTCCCAAAGTGCTGGGATGACAGGTGTGAGTCATCACACACAGTCCTAAAGTATTATTTTTTTAAGTGGCAAATTTAACTAAAAACAAACAAAAGAACAAAAACAAAAACCCTTTCATGGAGCAACAGACAACTGCTAAATGGACTTTCCACTTGTATCCATGACAAAAGTTCAACTTTTAATTTATATGGAGGTTCAAATCATATTCATATTGTCTGCATGACCCTGAATTACAGAAATAATACTACATGATTAAATTAAGAAATCTGATGGCTGTGCTAACTGAAGGTCAGTTAATCTTGGAGATAATATAATTTTTAAAAATCTATGCATGCTGGGCACAGTGGCTCATGCCTATAATCCCTGCACTTTTGCAGGCCGAGGTAGAGGGATTGCCTGAGTCCAGGAGGTTGAGGTTGCAGTGAGCCATGATCAAGTCATTGCACTCTGGCCTGGGTAAGAGTGAGACTCCAACTCAAACAATAACAACAACAAACTATGCAAAATCAGTATTTCTCAAATTCAATGTCTATATGATGTGGGGTAAGCAAAATTTATTTATATTTATTTATTTATTTTTTAATTTTAATTTTTATTTTTGAGTTGGAGTCTCATTCTGTCACCCAGGCTGGAGTACAGTGACATGATCATAACTGCTGCAGCTTCAACTTGCTATATTCAGATGATCCTTTCACCTTAGCCTTGGTAGCTGGCACTACAGCCATGCACCACCATGCCCCGCTAATTTTTTGATTTACTATAGAGACGAGGTCTCACCAAATTGCCTAGGCTGATCTTGAACAGCTGGGCTCAGGCAATCTCTTGCTTCCACCTCCCAAATTGCTGGGATTACAGGCATGTGTCACTGTACCTTGTGTCACACGTTCTTAAAATAAGACAATTGCCGGAGTCCAGCTCCAGCCGGGTTCAGGGTACCCCAAAGGTGGAGATGGAGTCAGCGATTGGGGGGAAGAGAGAGAGAGAGAGAGAGAGAGAGACAGAGAGAGAGAGAGAGAAAGAAAGAGACTGGACCTCTATCTAGTGCAGAAGCCGAGCAAAATTTATTTTCTTCTTTTTTTCTTTCTTTGCGAGGGGTAGGTGGAAGACTCCACCAAGACAGTTATGAATTAAGAAAGGTAGATTTATTAAAGAGATACATGGTGAAGGGTACAACAGGCAGGAAGGCAGAGAGTGTCTGCTGTCTGCTGCAAGAATTTCTTAAGACAAAAAATACATCATAAAGAGAAAAGTCAGATAAATTCATCTTAAAATTTAAAGCCCCTGTACTTTAAAAGATAATAAAAAATACCATGGTCCATAGCCCATCTGTATCAAAACACCTGGAGTTTTAGATTAAAAATGTAAATTACTGGGCCCCACCCAAAACCCTACAGTTTAACAAAATTTCCAGGTAATTCCTACGTGGTTTTAAGTACAAAAAAGTTTTTAGCCGGGTTCGGTGGCTCAGCCTGTAACCCCCAGCGCTTTGGGAGGCCGAGGTGAGTGGATTGCCTGAGCCCACAGGTTCGAGACCCACTGGGGCAACTTGGCGAGACCTCATGTCTACAATAAATCAAAAATTAGCCGGGCGTGGTAGCACACGCCTGTAGTTCCAGCTACTTGGAAGGCTGAGGTGGAAGGATCGCTGGAGCCCAGCAGGTAGAGGCTGCGGTGGCAGCAGTCTGGGCGACAGAGTGAGACTCCAACTCAAAAAAAAAAAAAAATTTTTTTTTAACAAATTTATACTGAAATACAATTGTGAACATCCTTTTGGATACCACACATTTATTGATGACCACTTAAATATTTATTCAGAATCTAGCTATTAAACATGTATGGTCACTTTTAATTCCCAGTTTTAAGTGAGACGTGGTTAAGGAAGAAAACAATGAATGATAGTCTATTCATTTCAAAGTCAAGAGTAAACAATTATACATTATTCTAAACTATCTAAATCAAGGCTCTCTTGCAGCAGTAAAACCAATCAACACTTAAGTTCATTGCCCAGGTGGGGGGAAAAATAGGCATATACTAGGAATATCGTTTTTAATTTTAAACTAAAGAATTTACTTAGAAAGCTAGTGTTAACTAATTTTTAAAGTATTTTTTTAAGTCACTTTAACTTAAGACAGAAACAAAAACCCTCTCATGGGGCCAAAAGTTTTTACAAATAACCTTAAAAATCTCTGTGATATATACACATAAGTATGTATGTCACAAAATGACCCAATTTTCAGAAGTACCATCTTAACGCTCTCCTTTCTTAAAATTCCTACTGTATACAAACTTTCTCTCATTTTTAGAAGATTCTTTTTTTCTTTCTTTTTTGGGGTGTGGGGAGAAAGAAAACTGTACTTATAAAGAGTATTTTCTCAATTGTCTGCAGACAACCTTCTCTAAGATTGTAACTTGCATTTTGGGTAGAAACACAGACTTGGAAGAAGCATTGAAAGGTCACAGGGGCTGGGCTCGGTGGCTCAGCCTGTAATCCCGCGTCTTTGGGAGGCTGAGGTGAGTAGATTGACGGAGCCCGCGGGTTTGTGACCCACCTGGGCAACTTGATGAGACCTCATCTCTACAATAAATCAAAAATTAGCCAGGCGTGGTATCGCGCGCCTGTAGTTCCACCTACTTGGAAGGCTGAGGCAGAAGGATTGCCGGAGCCCGCAGGTCGAGACTGCGGTGGCCGGGAGCAGCCACTGTACTCTAGTCTGGGTGACAGAGTGAGACTCCAACTCAAAAAAAAAAAAAAGAAATGTCACAGGGTTTATTTAACTCAGTAACTTTTAGTAAAGCCTATGAAAATGGTGAGCCAAAAATTTTTGTTCCTAAAAAAGTATTCACATTAAAACATGGTTGCCAGGCGCAGTGGCTCATGCCTGTAATCCCAGCACTTTGGGAGGTGGAGGCTAAAGGACTACTGTCCAAGTCCAGGGGCTCAAGAACAGCCTGGACAACTTGGTGAGACCTCATCTCTACAATAAATCAAAAAATACCAGGCATGGTGGCGCATCCCTGTGGTTCCAGCTACTTGGAAGGCTGAGGCAGAAAGATCACCTGAGCCCAGTAGGTCGAGGCTGTGGTGGGCCGTGAGCATGCCACTGCACTACAGCCTGGGAGGCAGAATGAGACTCCTACTTAAAACAAAACAAACAGAAAAACATGGTTATAACATTTAATCAACTTGATTTGCTTGTTCTATTATTTCATTTTACTGGCTACCAAAAAATCCCTCATATCTACATGTTTTAATTGAAAGCATTTCTGCTCAGTCTTTACAGACAGAAAAGAAATACATTCTTTATTCTTTATATAATAAACTGTTTAAAGCTGGCAAAAGTAAACTAAATCTTCCTTTGACTCTCTAGACAACTCTAACTCCTTTAGCCTTCTCCTTATGAGGTTAAAAGACAATTCATCTGGTGAGTTTTTACTTTTTACCCCATGATGTGCTTTGTCTTTTCTATTTTACCCCAAGTTCAAGTGGCATTCTCAATTAATTTTTCTTTCTGTTCATTTCTCTGCAACCCCAACAGTCCTAAGGTGACTTAGGCCTTATTCTCTACTCCTAGAATTCTTTGTTAGCCATCTCTACCTAACCAAGTTCGCTTCATACACTCCTGAAAACCTGGTATCCTTTCACAAAATTGCACAGGGAGTCTAAGACCAAGAACTCCACCAAAGCACATGTCAAGTCACATTCCAGTTTCTAAAATTATTCCAGTAACCTTCCTTCTCCTCCCAAAAAACAAATACATTAAAATATAGCTATATTTACAAAGAAGGTCACAGCAAAAGACACAGCTATTTACCTGTTAAAAGGTAAAGAAACAAAATCAATCTCTAAAAAACACTATGACCTATGAAAAATTCTGTTATACAACAGAGTTTGCATCAAGCTACTAGAAAAAGTTTTCTATCAGCCGGGCTCGGTGGCTCAGCCTGTAATCCCGTGCCTTTGGGAGGCTGAGGTGAGTGGATTGCCTGAGCCCGCGGGTTCGAGAACCACCTGGGCAACTTGGCGAGCCCTCATCTCTACAATAAATAAAAAAAAAATTAGCCAGGCATGGTAGCATGCGCCTGTAGTTCCAGCTACTTGGAAGGCTGAGGCGAAAGGATCGCCAGAGCCCAGTAGGTCGAGGCTACGGTGGCCGGGAGCGGTCACTGCAGTCCAGTCTGGGCAACAGAGTGAGACTCCAACTCAAAAAAAAAAAAAAGAAAAAGAAAAGAAAAAGCTTTCTATCTAAACTTAGGCATAATCTGCATCACCCACCTTGTTTCAATGAGGTAAGCAGTATACGTTTCTTGCATGTTCATGGCATTTCTTCCAGTTCGCTTTTCTGCTTCTGAAACACTGATTTCTATCTTCTTCAACCAAAAATTATTTTCTGTCATCTGCACAAAAATAAACAGAACAACAACAACAAAACTTTAAGATAATATTTTTTAAAACCCAGCTATTTAAATAAAACCCATTACTGATATATATTTCAAGGATTTCTTGTATTGCTTAGCTGCTAGGGGTTGCCAAGTGACAACAGCAGATGACAGCCTCTCTTTATCAACACATGGCAGTACACTGACTACTCCATTTCAATTTTAACAGGTACTACACATTTAATGATTACAATTTAGACATTTCATATAAGTGACCAAGAATATATCTATATGGAAATGCTTTTTTTTCGAGTTGGGGTCTCACTCTGTCATCCACGCTAGAGTGCAGTAGCACGATCATGGCTCACTGCAGCCTCAAACTCCTGGGTTCAAGCGATCCTTCTGCTTCAGTCTCCTGTGAGTAGCTAGGACTTCAGGCGTGTGCCACCCCACCTGGCTACTTTTTTGATTTTTTGTAGAAATGAAGTCTTGGCCGGGTTCGGTGGCTCAGCCTATAATCCCAGTGCTTTGGGAGGCCGAGGTGAGTGGACTGACTGAGCCCGCGGGTTCAAGACCCGCCTGGGCAACTTGGCGAGACCTCATCTCTCCAAGAAATCAAAAATTAGCCGGGCGTGGTAGCGCATGCCTGTAGTTCCAGCTACTTGGAAGGCTGAGGCGGAAGGATCACCGGAGCCCAGCAGGTTGAGGCTGCGGTGGCCGGGAGCAGCCACTGCACTCCAGTCTGGGCAACAGAGTCTGAGACTCCAAGTCAAAAAAAAAAAAAGAAACGAAGTCTCACTATGTTGCCCAGTCTGGTCTCTAACTCCTGGTTTCAAGTGTTTCCTCCACCTTAGTCTCCCAAAGTGCTAGGATTACAGGCATAAGCCACTGTGCCCGGCCCTGAAAATGCATTTTAAGGACACTTAAAAACACATATACCCAAAGGACTCTGGGAGAATAGAGGAATAGAAAGCACCAGGAATCAGTATCTCCACTTAGAAAACAATTGCACCAGTAGATTTTGATGTAAATATTTGAGAACTCCAGAGTTCAACCAAGGCTCAAGGCAAGGCTTAGATGACAATATATGGTTAATTTCAATCAATTTCAGCTTAGTATGGTAACAGCCACTTATTCCCCACTCCTAGTCCCTAGCAGGCAGCTCTGCAGTGTTTCTGGAGCAGCTTACACAGAGCCTGCAGGTGAACAAAAAGAACCTTTTTCTCCAAACACTGGAGATCTGTCCTCTGACCATTGCTTGCTGCTTCTTAATCACATATGCAAAGACAAAGAGGTGGTAGTCACTGCTGTTGCCCCTTCTCACATGGTTGCAAGTCTCTTGCCCTAGCTGAAGTGACTTCCAAGGGATTTAAAAGGCCAGCACCCTTTTCTTTTTCCTTCCTTCGCTTTTCTTTATTCCCCCTTTTGTAAACCAGACATTAAAATCTTGGACATTTAGCTGAGTGCAATGGAGTGCACCTATAGTCCCAGGTACTCAAGAGGCTGAGACAGGAGGCTTGTTTGAGCCCAGAAGTTTGAGGCCAGCCTGGCAACATAGCAAGACCCCATCGCTCTAAAAAACAAAACAAAACCAAAAAGTTATACATTAAAAAATAACTGAATATATGGGGAAAATTAGAAAGTAACCATGCATGTCTATGAAAAGACTCAGGTCGAGAAAAGACCTGAGAAGACTTTTAAGTTTTTTCTTTTGTTTTGAGGCAGAGTCTCACTCTACCACCCAGTCTGGAGAGCAAGGGCACATTCATGGCCACTGCAGCCTCAACCTGCTGGGCTCAGGCAATCCTTCTGCCTCAGCCTTCCAAGTAGCTGGAACTACAGGCACGCGCCACCATACCCAGCTAATTTTTTGAATTATTGTAGAAACGAAGTCTTGTCAAGTTGCCCAGGCTGGTCTTGAACCCATGGGCTCAGGAAATCCTCTCTGACTTTTAAGTTTATATCTCAGGTTGATCTTCAGCACGAGACAACGTACAATAAAAAAAAATTAGAAAATAAAAATAACAAAAATCAACAAACCCTAAGGCAGGAGGAAATCTGACTTCCCAAGTTACCACATTATTACACTCAAATGTCCAGTTTTCAACAACAGCAACAACAAAATCACAAAGCATACAAAAAAAAAAAAAAAAAAAGGAGTGAACTGACCCACACAAAGGGGAAAAAATAAATCAACAGAAAGTATTTCTGGGCTGTACATGGTAGTTCACGCCTGTAATCCCAGCACTTTGGGAGGCAGAGGTAAGAGGAATGTCTCAGCTCAGGGGTTTGAGACCAGCCTAAACATCATGGCGAGAACTCGTCTCTACAATAAAATTAGCCGGGTGTGGTGGCACATGCCTGTAGTTCTAGCTACTTGGAAGACAGAGGTGGAAGAATTTCTTGAGCCTAAGAAGTTGAGGCTGTGGTGGCTGGGAGTGTGCCAATGCACTCCAGCCTGGGTGACAGAATGAGACTCCAACTCAAAAAACCCCCCACAAAACGTATTTCTAAAAAAGAATTAATGGCAGATCTACTAAAAAAAAGACTATAAAACAACTATCTTACAGATGCTCAAAGAACTAAAGAAAAACGTAGAAAAAGTAAAAAAAAAAAAAAGAAAAGAAAAAGAAAAGAAAAGATATACAGACAAAATAGAAATACCAGAGACAGAAAACTTAAAAATATACCACAAAGAAATTCTGGAGCTAAAAAGTACAGTAACCAAAACACAAAACTCACTAGAGGGATTCAAAGGCAGATTTGAGCAAGCAAAAAAAAAGAATCAGCAAACTGGAAGATAGGAAAATGGAAATGATCAAGTCTGAGGAAGAGAAAAACAAGATTAAAGAAAAGTGAACAGACTGGGCTCAGTGGCTCAGTCTGTAATCCCAGCACTTTGGAAGGCCGAGGCGAGAGGATTACCTGAACCTGCGGGTTCGAGACCTGCCTGGACAACATGGTAAGACCTTGTCTCTACAATAAATCCAAAAAAATTAGCTGGGTGTGGTAGCATGTGCCTGTAGTTCCGGCTACTTGGAAGGCTGAGGCAGAAGGACCGCTGGAGCCCAGGAGGTCGAAGTGAGGGGGTGGCTGTGAGTGAGCGTGCGTGCCACTGCACTCCAGCCTGAGCAACAGAGTGAGACTCCAGCACAAAAAGAAAAGAAAAGTGAACAGAGCCTAAGGGACATGTAGGACACCATCAAGCCAACCAACATGTGCACTGTGGCAGCCCCAGAAGAGAGGGGAGATAAAGAAGCAGGAAAACTATCTGAAGAAATAATGGCTGAAAACTTCACGAATTTGATGGAAGACATGACAATAAACATCAAAGGAGTGCAACAAACTTCAAGTAAGATAAGTTTACTCAGTTAATGAAACTTTTTTTTTTTTTAGTTGGAGTCTCTCACTCTTTTGCCCAGGCTGGAGTGCAGTGGCACACTCACGGCCACCTCAGCCTTGACCTGCTGGGCTCAGGTGATCCTTCTGCCTCAGCCTTCCAATAGCTGGAACCACAGGCATGTGCCACCACGCCCAGATAATTTTTTGATTTATTGTAGAGATGAGGTCTCACCATGTTGCCCAGGCTGGTCTCGAACCTGGGGGCTCAGGCAATCCTCTCACCTCAGCCTCTCAAAGTGCTGAGATTACAGTGTTGACAGAGACTCCAACTCAAAAATAAATAAACACACGAGCAATTATAAAATCAGTATTATTGGAAAGGCAGTGTGTAAACTCCATGTTTTGTTTTCTATATGATTTAAGAGATAAATACATTAGAAAACTATTAGTCTAAAAGCTAACAGTATTGTAACTTCAGTATGTAACTCCACTTTTTGTTTTCTACATAATCTGAGACCAATGCATTTTAAATAACTTTCAGTTTATATTTTGGGGCATACGATGCATAAGAATGTGATTTTGTGACAACCAAAATGTGTATCCTGGAGGGAACATATGTGAAGTCACAAATTAAGTCTCAACAGATTTTAAAAGAAAACCTGTGGGCCGGGCATGGTGGCTCAAGTCTGTAATCCCTGTACTTTGGGAGGCTCAGACAAGAGGAATGCCTGAGTCCAGAGGTTCGAGATCAGCCTGGGTAACTTGGTGAGACCTCGTCTCTACAATAATTCAAAAATTTAGGATGGACTCAGTGGCTCAGTCTGCAATCCCAGCACTTTGGAAGGCCGAGGCAAGTGGATTGTCTGAGTCCGTGGGTGTCAGACTAGCCCGGGCAACTTGGCAAGACCTCGTCTCTACAATAAATAAAAAATTAGCTGGACATGGTAGTGCATGCCTGAAATTCTGGCTACTAGAAAGACTGAGGTAAAGAATCGCCTGAGCCCAGCAGGTCAAGGCTGCAGTGGACATGAGCGTACCACTGGACTCCAGCCTGGGCAACAGAGTGAGATTCCAACTCAAAAAAGAGTGATCAGGTTACATACAATCTTTAATTCACCTAAACTTTTTGGTGATGGTTAATATGCTCCACTCTTGAGACAGAAGCAGGACTTAAGAAGAGGAGCGAACAGACTGGACTCCTTTCTTTTCCCACTAAGGACATCTACAGGTCTATACCAAAGTACTAAAAAGAGTAATAATCACACCACAGTGGATCCTAGGTTGTATGTCTGGAAGTGCACCACTGAGGAAGTCATAAATACACCCAAACATGAAAGAGATACTGAGACCATGTGATAACTGCTGTGCTTTGGCTTTTTTTCTCCTTTGCTCACTGTGAAGAATCAGAGGTGAGTTTTAACTTAAAATGCTGTCCTGTACTATATAACTGGGGCAGTTCACGGAGTGATCTAAGTAGAAACGTGGGTGCAGCAAACGGTAAAAGGAAAAGCTACAGTAAGACCTATGGTTATACACAGAAAACCAAGCCTAAGGACTAACAAGGCCTAAAAGAGTTCTGTGACGGTGCAAAAAATTGAATCAGTGATTAAAAAAAGATAACACACTGAGGTCTCCCAAAATGTATAGAAAAAATGCCAAAGAAAGTAAAAATGCTA